CTAATGAACCAAGGATTTCTGATTCTTGAGCTTCAGAAGGTGCTTTAAGAAGATCAGGCAAGAAGGCAGGAGGATTCTGGCTTTCTCATGAAGTGAGGCATTGCTGAGCGATGGCCACAGTAACATTATTTCTCTGAACTTGGGAAAAGTTAGATGCTGTTATGTGAACATGGTTTGAGAGTGTCATCATTTTGTGGAGACCTGGTACAAAGTTCTCCTAAACTACAAAGCTCTTGTGGTTCCTCCTCCCCATGGACATGGCCTAACGCTTCTCCAGCTCAGACAGTGCTTCCTCCTTGGTAATTTTCTGCCACTCCTCAGGGATTTCTCCTCTACCCTGAAATTTCCCATTGTACAGAGCTTCCAGCTGTGTCTTGAAATGAGACACAAACCACTTCCAGTACGCCTGCATGGATGAATCAGGAAGAATGTTCCAAGTGGAAAAAGGAGGTCCAGCATCACGGTATCTCTTGTATGGGATCCATTCATTGTCACCAACTCTGAATGCGCAGTCACTTGCAACAAGGCTGGAACAAATGTCAGTGACCAGGTGGTCGGTCTCATTCCAGTTGAATCCCGTCAAAGCTTCTGGGCGATGGAAGACCAGCTGATGGTCTCCATCGTGATCTCGAATTGTGTTTGTGCAGACAGCCCCACAAAAGGGACACTGCTCCCAGCACCCTGAAAAATGCTCTGCCAGGATGGTGTGAGGCTGCCTTGAAAACCAGCTCAGGTCAGCATCAGCCAATTCTTTCATAATCTTGTCCCTCAGGTCATCCAGAGCTTTTGAAATGGCACTGCTCAGAAACTCAATGTCTGTGACCTCCTGGTGCTCGATGCCCTTCAGGTCACTTCTGGGCAAGTTGATCACCTCTGTCAGTTGCCTGCAAAATTCATCCAGCCAGAGAGAGACTTTGTCTTCCCTGTCTTTTCTGTCTTTGACAATTTGGGTTGATGAAGAAACAGCTGACAGGATGCTTCGATAGAGATTATTAAGTGAGGAATTTAAATACATCCCCAGCCTCCTTGTCCCGTCTAAACAGTGCTTCCTAACTTGTGTCTCAATATAACTTTTACAAAACCGTTTTGGAGACGTAAGGTACTCCTTGAAATACTCAAAATTTTCCTGTTCTGCCAGGTATTTCAGGATGCAAACTTCCAGATTGGCTCTGCTGCCCTGGAAATCTGGGAATTGGCCCTGCATGTCCTCAGCGATGTCCTTAGCCGTCCTCTTAGAGACCGCCTGGAGAAGAGCTGGTTTAATTTTTTCACAAAGGAAAGTAGCAAAAGTTGTGCCAGAAGTGGCTCCTTGGCAGGAAATCTGGAAACACTGGAAGAAATCTTCTCTCTTGCTGCTCAGGTACACCACTGGGTCATTTGCCTTTCGGAATGCTTCGTGCATGGCTTTAAACCTTTCTGCTGCCATTGTGCACAGATACAGAGACAAATCGATAATGTACTCTCTGTTAAATGTACATTTTCCATTGCTGGGGACAGAGATCACACCTTTCTGTACTTCATTGAGTATTTCATGAATAAAATTTCTACTGTAATCCTGTTTCTCCTCTTCCTTCTTATCAATGTTTGCCATCACACACTCTATGATGTTGTTTGTGATGTGCTGAAAGTTGATCACATCAGCATTGGAAAGGCTCCGGAAATCTGGGAAAAAGCTAAAAGACCTTTTCTTCATGATGTGTTTCTCTGGATCCAAATAAAATCCCCTGTCTTTGGGAAATGACCTGATCCGTGCATGGATACCCGGCTCCTTAAAGTGCTCCACAAGGACATCTTCAATTTCTGCATCAATATCCACCTGTTCTGGAGGGCGAACCTCACGCGAGACTTCAGCAATCCACTTGTTCCAGACAAGAGTAAAGTTGTCCATCAGTTCTCTCTCCCTGAGGCTCTTTCCTTTCAGACTCACAGCCAGCTCCCGACTCTTTCTCAGGAGCTCATCTTCATATTGCAACTTCCTTGCATCCAGTTTCCTCTGCTCCTTCTGTAGCCCAATAAGATTCTCACATTTCTTTTTTGTTTCATGAAGAAGCGTCTCTTTTAGTTCTTTCAGCTTCAGCTCTGTGCTTGATTTCCACTGGATCAGTGTCTCACAGTCTTTGTCTTCCCTGAAATACTTTTCCACTTCTTTCTCAATGGCATCACTTGTCTCTCGCACCAGCCCTTCAAGGTGTTCTCTGGTGACATTCTGCCTGTCCCCATTCCGAATTTTGTTGTCCAGTCTCATCTGTACATCTAAGATGTGACTCCTCAGCCTCCATGTCCACTGACTAAAGGCACTTTCCAGTTTCCTGTACACAGCAATCTCCAGGGAATTCTTGAAGCTGAAAACAAAGTTTTCATTCACCAAAGCATTCCAGAGGTCACCAATACGATCTTTCAGGCTCGAGAGCCTCAAAATGCTGTGCTGCGACTGATTCTTGGCAGCCTGGAAGATTTTGCTCTTGAGTTGCTGGACGTTCTGGCTGTAGGTGGGGTTGGGTGGTGCCATTGGGGGGTTTCCTTCCCACAGGTGAGCAAAGTAGTGAATGTGGGTGTTCACATCAAAGGCAATGACATCGCTGAAGGAGGAGACGTCACAGAATTCCTGCTGAGCAGCTACCACGGTCATTTCATCCAACTTTTCCTGCAAGCGCCTTTGTCCTTCCATGTTCTGCTCCTTGGCAGTTGCTTCTCCCACGTTTTGGTGGACAAAGAGGCAGCTTGGGGAAAGATTGACTTTTTTCATCCTCAGGAAAGCCTGCACAGCGATCTGGAGAACATCTTGCATTTCGGAGGGATTTTCTCCAAAGATATTGATCACAGTCACGTTGCCAACACCAATGACAAAGGTGGCCAGCTCGTTGTCATGGTTCAGGGACTGTTTGTTGGCCATCTCGATGGCACGAAGCCCCTCTGTGTCAACCACCAGCACAAAATCAAAGCCCAAGTCTTGCTGCAGCTCCTTGCCCACTGGGATGAGCTGCATGAAGGCTCCGCGTGTGCATCTCCCTGCGCTGACGTTGAACTGCAGACCAAACATGGCATTCAGCAGGGTGGACTTGCCTGTGCTCTGGATGCCGAGCACGGAGAGCACAAACACTCGTTTGTCCCCCAGCCTCTCAATTAAGCTGTCAAAGATTGCTCCCACCCAGCGCAAGGGCAGGTAAGAAGCGTCCCCATCCATCAGCTCCACAGAATATCCTAAATCCATCAGCTCTGCTGCAATTTCCGGCAGTTTGACAAAATTGTCTTTCTTACAGCTTATTAATTCCAGAGCTTCATAAATTTGCCCTATCTCTCTAAGAAGGTGTTCCAGGCCAATGGATGAATCATTGATTTCATCAGAGAGGGCATCCAACTGACTCACCAATGCATCATTGCCACTGGGTTTTTTCTTGCTTTTCTTTCTTGATAGGATTTCAGACCATAAGTTGTGATAGTCTCTCCTCAGTTCTTCAAGGCAACCACAGGACAGTTCGTCAATAAAGACCTTCATCCACTGCAGGAAGTATTTCTTGGTATCTGCTGGCTGGGCCTGGAGAAAGCCAAGGAATGATTTCATCAGTGGGTTGAGTGGGAAAGCTTGCTCCAGTTGCTTTCTTCTTATTGCTTTCTTCTCATTTTCAATTTGGCTGCGGTGATGTTCGATGCTCTTGTTCCTCTTCTCCTGCAAGCGAGTGAGTTCTTTGTCCTTTTGGCACCACTGGTACCACAGTTTTCCTTGAAGTGGCAGCAGCCGGGATTTGATCTCAGACAGCTTCTCTTTCTTCAGAAGCTCCACCAGCTCCTTTGCCTTTGCTTTGCCTGTCACACACGCGGGTTGATCTGCATCCACTGTGAATCCGTGCTGGCGAGCTTTGTCCATGCAGGCCTCCAGGCTGATACATGGATTACACCCTTCCAGGAGATCCCCAATTGTCTTGGTCAGCTGCTCCATCAGTTCTGCTTCATTTCTGTTCTTGATCCCTATTGTTATGTTTTTGCTGACTTGTCCAGCTGCAATGTTCTCTTTTTCCGTGAGAAGACAAACCAAAGGACTTTGTGACTGACACAGCCAGTTCAGAAGCTTTTTCCCCCTGCTGTCCATGTGCTCCCAATCAGACACAAGAGCCACGTTGACAGCAGATATCTCCTGCAGGAACTGCAGCTGTGCTCCGTGATCCCTGGCGTCTCCATGCAGGTTACAGAAAGCCACGCAGCGCTCAAAGATGTCATCAGGGCTTGCACGGGGGCAGTACCAGGCGATCTCCACCAGCCCTTCCATCAGCAAACGCTGTCTGGTGCTGCCTCTGCAGTGGCGGTGGAAGAAAGTGTCGTGTTTGCGTTTGCTCAGCAGAGCGTTCAGGAGCTGGGACTTGGAAGAGGAGGCGGAGCTGCCAATGCGGATGAAGGACACAATGGGTGTCTGTGCCTGAAAGATGAGTTTGTTACTGTAACTCTTTATTTGGGCCTGCTTTCCTGACTTCTCCACCTCTTTCCAGCTCCTTTGGATTTGGCTGAGGGCGTAGAGCGGGAACTCGATGTGTGAAGTGCTCGGGTTGGGCAGCAGCAGAGGCAGCGCCAGTTGGCAGAACGCCAGCTTGGTTGCCAGGGTCTGTCTCAGGAAGTCATCAGCACAGTGGAAAATGGCCATCTGCAGGTCCATGGGGTGCACATGGTCGTCCCTGCTGGCATGTTCAGGGGCGACTTCCATCAGCTTATCAAGAAAGTTTTCAAAGGAGTCTGATTGTTGGTTGTCTTGCTTCCTGGTTTGTGGCAGGGCTGCAAGTTTTGGGTTGCTCCTTTCCCAATAAGTCAGGTACCTCACCCGGTAATCCACAGTTAACAGCTTTTGCAAGAAGTACAATGGCAGTTCCTTGTCCTGGCTGGGCTGGCTGTCCTGCAGAGATGTCTTGCAGATGGTGCGGAAATCTCCCATCCCCATTTTCCTTGGATAGTGACTTTCCAGTCCAAGGCGCTTGAGCAACTGGAGGAACTCCTGGTTTGCAATGGCTTCATTTGCTTTGGATTCCCTGCTGTCTGACTTGGACTGGGACTGACAAGGGGCCTCAGGTGTCGGAAAAGTGTCTTCCAGGTCTCTGAGTATGTTCTGCATCCTCTGTTCCTCCCATTTGTCATCCAAGCATGCACTGATCAAGGAGTCCAAGTCCCGTTCCAGCCTCTCCCAGTCTTCGTCTCCACTGTGCTTTTGGAGGAGATTCTTTATCCGTGTGGACCACAAGCCTTTCATGTGATCTTCCATGAAAACTAAACGCTCCCTCTTCTGCTCAGGGGACAGCTTTTGACTTTCAGGTGTCACAATCAGTCCTGTCAGCAGGAGGAAGGCCTGAGCTCTGTTGGCATCTTGCTCCTTCAGGTTCACGTACTCCGCATGTGCCACTTCCATTTCCTCAGCCATGTACTGAATTTCTGGGTGTCCAAGGAGGTGCTGAAAAGTGCTGCTTTCCACCTGGTACCCTGTGCTGGTCACAATCAAGAGCACCAACAGTTCCATGTCCTTCTGAGCCTGTTCCTGGAGAGACTGCAGTAAGGAGTAAATGGTGAGGCTGCTGGTCAGGGTGGCTTCTATCTTTGCTTCATGAACGTCAGAAGCAGAGCTTCCTGGTCTGTAGGTGACAGCATGGATGTGCTCCTTCATTTGCTGCAGTGTCTTGATGAGCTCTTGAAGCTCAGAGACTTTGGGTGGTCTGGGATGCGGGTGCTCAGTCTGGAAGATCCATTGCATAATGGAGGAAGCCTCAGGGAAGTCCTTGACAGAGTAGATATGAGGATTCAGGAGGCTTCTCAACATTACCTTGATAGAGGTGGTGTTTTCTGGAGGTGACTCCTGGCAGCTCCGCACGGTGTTCAGCAGGAAGTCCTGCAGGGCTTTGTTCGACAGGCACACGTTGATCCACACACTGGGGTTCCTGGTTTTTGCACTCAGATAATCTTTTAGCTCCATCAGCATGAGCAGCTTCTTTTCATCCATGGTCACCTCCCAGGCTGTCACAGTCCCCATGAAATCTCTGGCCTCTTGCACTGCACTGCCCAGCTCCTCTCCAAAAACGGTGCCAATGCTCTGATTCGTCAGCGCTTTGTACGCAGCCCTGAGGGCTCTGCTCATCTGACCAACAGACTTAAAATCCCTGCAGTGATTGCACAGGATGACGTCCCACACTGGGATCAGCTCAAAGCCACGGTCGATAACGCACCACGTTGTGTTATCAGACACGAGCCCCGTTTTCCACTGAGGAAGGGAAGCTGTGTCTGCTGGGCCCCCGGTGTTGACCACGTAGAGCTGAATTGCTTTATGAGAACTCTCTCGGGCTCTTCCTTGGACAGAAGCCTTTGAGCTGGGTTTAGAAACACCCAGGGTCCCTTCTACACTGGCCCCGAAGCCACCCCAGCTGGCGCCAACAAAACTGTTCAGTGCTTTAGACGTTTGTCGCTTCATCTCTTCCCGCTGCTCAGCTCGGAATCCTTCTGTAGATGCTTTCCACCAGAATATCCCCCCAAAGTGGAGGGGACCCTGGTTTATGTGGGACCCAAACCTGCTGAAGAAGCTCTCACACATTTTCACCAAGGTGGAAGTAGCTCTGCTCAGAGTGGGACTGGTGGGTGTCCTGTGACTGTGAGGAGCTGCTATGATCTACACTCTCACCCAGACTAAAGCCCCCGAATGAGCATTTGGCAGAAACGCTCATGCTGAACCCCAGCTGCTGCATGGACTTGGTGAAAGTGGATTCTGCTGCAGAGGAGGAGAACTCCTTCCTCTCAAGCAGCGATCCTTGCTCTGGACCAGCCAGCTGGAACCCCTCAGGAACCCTGAGGAGCTGCTCTCGCTTTGCCAGCACATCTTCAGGTCTGCTGGTTCTGTAGATGCCCTGCAGGGCCAGTCCCCCTGACGCCCGCCTCAGCACCTCCGTGTCAGGGATGTTCTCCTTCCTGCCTGCTGACAGCTCCTGCTGCTCCTGCTGCTTCTGGATGCTCTCCAGCATATCCTCCAAGGGCTTCTTTGGCTGTGGCCAGAACTCTCTGGGAATCTCCATGGCTCGCCACAGAGTCTCTGCTTTCTCCCTCAGAGCATCCTGGCTGTGGCTGGGGCTCTTGAGCATTTCTGTCAGATCCTTCAGGGCTTTTTTGGCCTCTTCCTGTCTTTGCTTTGTCTTCTCCAAGTGCTCCTTCTGCACCTCTTTAGTGGTCATTTTGTCATCTTTTATTTTCAGGAGTTTCTGGAGTGCCTTTTTCTCCCAGGGATGCTGCACTTCACACTCCAGCTTGAGGTAGTCCTCATACTGCAGATGTTGCAGGGCTTCTGTGCACTTGATTCCCAGGATCTGTGAAGCTTATTTTCAGGAGTTTCTGGAGTGCCTTTTTCTCCCAGGGATGCTGCACTTCACACTCCAGCTTGAGGTAGTCCTCATACTGCAGATGTTGCAGGGCTTCTGTGCACTTGATTCCCAGGATCTGTGAAGCTTTGGGCAGCCAGTATCTAGCATCCAGTCCTTCCTTCTCAAATTCTTTTGCCAGGAGCTGTGCCTTTGCATCCCACGCTTTTGTGTCCTCCTGTGAAGCCATGGCTGTGGAGGAAGAACAGAGACTTTCCCTAAGGTGTTGTCAGAGGCCCCACGCTCCTGGCAGAGGCTCTGCAGCAGCTGCAGCCCTGGGGATTGCTCCCACCCAGCTGCTGGAGCCAGGCCTGGGATGGCACAAGAGCCAGGGTCTCCTTCCCAGCACCCTGGATGTGCCTGTTGCTTTCCTGTTTGCAGGATCAACCCTGAAGCTGAGTGTGTGTCCCAGGGACAGCACAGACACACAGAGACACACACAAAGACACACAGACTTAGCCACACAACCTGCCCTGTGTGAGAAATGAAACCCTGGAGACAGAAGCTCTTTTTTTTCAGAGTAGTAATTGTTAGTTAGTGTTGATGAAGTTGATAGGGTCTTAATTTGAAGAGCTGGTCTGTTGTTGAGTATTGAATGTTAAGAGTTCTGGGCCTCGCCTTTGGTTGCCACTGTTTAGTGTTACTATCTTACCCTGTATTTGTATCCCTTTCCCTCAGGTCAGGAACCACTTCCCCTGCTCCCAGAAGGACTTGCACCCCTGTATTTGTATCCCTTTCCCTCAGGTCAGGAACCACTTCCCCTGCTCCCAGAAGGACTTGCACCCAGACTGAATTTAATGAGGGGCTGTTGGTACTATGTGGACCCTCTTAAAAACAACAAACTAGCACATGAACTATGATTTTAACCTGGCAGCACCACAGGGAATCACCCACCATTGACCAGAGCTGGATTCTGTCCTGTTGCCATAACTTCAGGAGTACTCAGTCTGGATGACAGCCCTAAACTACAAGCCAACCTTGTCTTCCTGAGGACTCTCCTGAGGACGGAAGCCCCAGCTCTGCCGAGAGACAAAGCTGCACTTCTCCTCCTCAGTGTCATCCTGTGGGAGCAGCGGTGGTGTGCGCGACCCCTCGGGTTCCCCAGCCAAGAGCTGTTCTTCAGAAAGGCCTCTTGAAAGGAGCTGGTCTCCTGGTCCTGTTTATTACACCAGGGTGATATCTTCACCATCACCCACATCCTCCCAGCAGAACTCCTCAATCCACAAGTGCAGACAGCCGGGGGCATTCCTGGCTAGGCAGCTCAGAGAGGTGCCCTCCATGATCTGCTGCTCGTTAGCACAGAGGGTCGTGTTATAAATGTATATTACAGTATTGGCTTTTTGCAAATAATTAAATGGATTCTATATGTGTGGTGTTAAAGTAACTTTGCTGGAGAGATATAGGGTTTTTTTTCTGTTGTTACCTAAAACTTTGAAGTAGCTGATATAGATATAGATATATATATACACCTGTGTTAAATATCTGCTTGGTTGGGATAATATCCAAGGAACATGATAAGGACCTGCTACTGATATGCCAAATATCAGCACTCACCCTCTCAAGACAGTGTGGACCAAAGCCCAAGAACTGGAGGTGATGGTAAAAATGGACTAAAACCACTAAAACCAAGAACTATGCATGCTCTAAAAAGGCAGATCCAAGGAGGAGCCATGCTAACCAGTTCTTAGAACTTGTAAACTAGTTTGGGGAAAAGTTTAAGTATGCAAGAGGCTGATGCAATAGAAGTGGTATATGAAGGGTGTTTCCAAACTAGCAGATGTGCCCTTGGCTGAGTGCCATGATGCACTTGGCCACAGATCTTTGTTTTATTGTCTTTGTCTCCTATTGTCCTTATTAAACTTTTAAATTTTACCAGGAGAGTGAACCATGTTTTTCACAGCCTCATCAGCCAAGTGCCCATTGATGGCCATCCCAGCCACAGCCACCATGGAGCCACTGGGCTTAAAATCTCTGGTGACAGGAGGAAAAGTGCCTGCAAACCTTCAGCTGGGCACCTGCCTCTTAACTTTTGGGGCTTTGACTCTGTCACACAATTCTGAGAATAGTCCCAGTCTCAGTTCACTTGGATACTGGGGAGATTTATTCCTTGCAAAAAAAATCCTTCTGAGCATTCAGCTTCTGTTCCAAGCTGAATGCTTGGAACAGCATTCCACAATGCCAAGGCCACAACACTGTCACCAGCACAGGTATTGATCCCAGAGCCATGGACTGGGCTCCTGCACCCTTCCAGAGCCTTCAGGGGCAGCTTTCCCTTAGGAGACCATGCAGATCTGGGCAAGGTATGCATGGGGAGTGGGCTCTGATTGCCCTCACCCACCTCGCAGCAGATGCTCCCGTTGCTCCCAGCCTTGGCTTCCCAGCAGACACCGGCAGCAGCTCAGGGGACACAGCACAGCAGCAGGGATAGGCCTGGGGTACACAGCAGGGTATGGAGAAGAAGATGGGAACCCCTCGAGAACTCAGGTGTGACGCACCAGGAAGGAAAGGCCCAAAATCCTAAAGAAGAAAAGCCGACAGTCAGGAGAAAGCAACTCATGAGTATGGCAGATTCATTCCAGGGAGCACTGCAGGCCAACCCTTCTCCACTGGGAAAAGCAGAAGCAGGAAAAAACACTGGCTGGAGATAAGGGCAGTTCAGCAGCAGAGGAAAGCTGGGTGTGCTGGCAGAGCACAGCAGGGGTTTAGACCAAGTGCCCTTGGTGGGCTCATGTCCAGCTGCTCCCTGGGCAGCAGAGCCTCAGTGCAGGACGGCTGCTCAGGAAGGGAACTGCTGGCTCAGGGTCACTGCAGGAGCTTGTCCACTTGAGCCACTTGTCCCAGCCCTGTGCACTCCCAAATTCTCTCCCAATGGAGCCCTGGACATTAACATTAACTCCAGCCCAGCCACACCCTGAACCTGCCCCCGGGCACCCTTGGCACTCCCTGCACGGCTTCCCATTGCTGCAGGAATAGGGAAAAGCCCCATGTGGCTGTGTCAGTGCCCGCAGAGAGGCACTGAGCACGTTCAGGGCATAACTCGGGATCGAGCTCCTCCTTGGAAGGAAAGGAGGGAAGCAGCAAGGCTGGCAGCAGGACCTGCCATGGGAATGCCTGCACCCCATTTCACGGGAACAGCCCTCCGAGAGTGTTTTCCCCAGCCCTGCCCAAGGGAAGGGGCTCAGGGAACACTGCTGCCTTTGTGGGGCTGTCCCAGGGACCGGAGCGCTCTGGGTGGTGCCGCTCAGACTGTAAGAGAGGAGAATCCCACCCTCCCTGCATGGGGTGGAAGCGGTACCCCCTGGGCTTGGGGACAAAGTGGGATGTCCTGTGCCTGCCTCTCATCACAACAGAGCTGCCCTGCTCCCGAAGGAGCGGCACGGGGCCGGGAACCCCCCCAGCATCAGTCCCACCGCTCCTGCCTCCGGGGGAGAGCAGGCATCCGCTCCCACCGCTCCGAGCCCGGCCCCCTCCCAGCTCAGCCCCCGCAGCGCACACGGCTCCCCCGAGCTCCCGCAGAGCGGTGCCAGCAACGGCGGCTTCCTGCAGCCCACCCGCTGCCCTCAGCCCCCTCTTCTCCTGCCCCGCCATCGCCCCAGCCCTGGCAAAGCACCGGGAACAGGAGGCAGGAGAGCAACGAGATCCCGCTCCCTGCTGCCGCCGGCTCCCATCAGCCTGCTTAAAAACAGCTTTTCTTCATTTATTTCGATTGTTAAAGATATTCTCTCACTGCAGGAGGCTCTCCAGTGTGGTCAGCCATCACCTCGTGTCCCTCGTGCCACGGGAGGGTCGGGGCTGGGGCTGAGCCCTGGGACAGTCTGGGGAAGAGGCCGGTGTGGGGGGAGAGCTGAGGTGGAAGAGGCAGGGAGGGAGGTGTTACCTCCTTTGTCAGCGAACCCTGGGGGCAAAACAACTTAAAAGCCACCTGGCACAGCCTGGGGAGGGGCCTCCCTTCAGAAAACACCTGGAGCAGCCACCACGATTTTCCCTTTCATATTTCCAGCCCTGTGCATTGTTGGGTATTGGGCAGACTTTGTCTTCGGGGAAATTCGGGCTGTGTTGGGTGGAAGCAAATAAGTAACATAACTGAAATATTTTGGTAATATTGGGGTGGGTGGCTCTGCCCAGGTGCCACAGGGGAGGAATCCCAGCCCTCTCCATGTTTTTGCTCCAGTGGGGATGAGGCTGAAGTTGGCACTGTATTTTTTTGCTCTGAAACCTGGGGGGCTCTGGGGGGTGGCTGTGGGTGGGGGTGGCTCTGGAGATGATGTGCAGGGCAGAGCCAGCTGGGAAAAACACAGGGATGTTTTCTTCCAACCTCGCTCGCCCTGGGGATACCCCAGCCTTGGCTGATGGGTGTCTGGGAGGTTTGGTTCTGCCCATACCATCCCCACCCCCATCCCCATCCCCATCCCCATCCCCATCCCATCCCCATCCCCTACCTTCTCCCTCCATGCCCTGAAGCTCCCGGGCTGGGACAGGTCCAGCACAGCCCAAACAGCTCTGGCTCCTTTGGAGGGATCTGCTTCCCCTTTTATAGGGACAGTGAGGGAGCAGCTACTGCTTTCCTGGAAATCATGTGTTTTCCGGCAGCAGTGTGAAAGTGAAACTGCTGCTGCCTGCTTTGGGGTGAAAGTTTTTTTGCTGAGAGGTGGGCTTGAGGGTGTTGGAGGTCTTTTCCAACCTTTGATTTTGGATTTAGAGAAGGAAAATAAGAAGAAAATGATTAGAAGTTGTTGTTCAACGTGTAGCACGGGGCATGTCTGCCATTCTTTATTGCAGCACTGGTTGTTTGGGGGATACTTCCTCCAATCAAGTCTGACAGTGTTGGATGAACAGAGCTTTTATCATACACACTAATTGTATATTCATTAGCTATCCCAGCTTACTTGACTTTATTTTGTGCAGTCACATCCTTTACCAGGAGTCCTTACGTGGTTTTGTTTTTAATATTCCGTGTCCTTTTTAGGGGCATGTTCCTTGACCCTCACTTTTGAGTGAGGGAAATATCCTCATTTTGCACAACTTCTGCTTTGTCAGCCTTGCAGAGCTGAGCTGACTTCTCTTCATTTTTCATGACTTCTCTTTGCCTGAGTTACATCCTTTACCTCTTTCTCCAAGGCTGTGCTGTTCTCCTGTCCTTACAAAATCCCTCCTCTTCTTGATTCTAAGTTCCTTGTGGGAACCAGTCTCTTGAGATTTACATTTCCTTTCAGAGTGTAAGGCATTAAAACAGCTTCAACACTGAATCTTGGTGCTGGCTAAGACCACACAGCAATTATTAAGGTGGTGATTATAAACAGACATTTCACCAAGTCCAGCTGGGTACCCATGAAGGACGTTTGGTCCAGATTTCTTCCAATCTCCAGGATGTGGTGTCTTGAGCTGTGGGTTGTAAAAATTGGGATTGTTTCCAGATTCCCTGAACATCTGTAGGCACTCTACCATGTCTTTTGAGCAGTGAATACACAGCACCTGGAGTTAATGACAGTCCATATTCCTCCTTGTGATAATAAAACAAGTGCTAGCACCACTTGGTTTCATAAAACAGCTCGTGACAAGCTCTTGACTTCTTCCCAAGGGGCTTAGGCCCTTTTAATTCTGGAACAAGGTATCCAAAATTTTACTTTGTGCAGTTTCAACGCGGTAAAAGTTGTCAGCAATGCTTGGAAGGTCCCTTCCACTTTGGTTGGAGCAGAGCAGTTCCCCAGTCACTCAAACAGACCCAATCTCCTGGCTGGAACTCATGCCCTGGTGTGTCCAACCACTGCAAATCCTGCAAGGTTTTACTAAGAGAAATGAGGTAATTATTCAAATCAACCCCTCCTTTTAACATGTGTGTTTCCTGGAGTGTGGCACTTGGTGGGGTCGACCACAGAGCAGCTCACAGGGGCTGATTTTGCTGGTGCTCCACAGCTGAATTCTGCTTTGAAGCAGAGCAACAGGCAAGGCTTGGACCTAGGTCAAGGAGCTTTCCTGACATATTTTACCCAATTTCAATTTGATTGTATAATTCACTTTGCCACTAGCCTGGGGCCTGTAAGGAGTGTGAAGATGCCAAGCTATTCCCAAGGTTTTCCTGAGTTGTTGTATCACTTCTGCAATAACGTGGGAATCTGTGAATGATGACATTACCAAAGGCACCCCCGATTTTTGATGGATTGTATTTTTGGGGTTTTGTATCTATTTGATTTGACAGTGCTTTAGTCACTTCCCTAACCTGGTTGGTGTGACAAGGGAAGGCTTCTGGCCACCCACAGAAGGAATCCACCAGAACTTCATAGCTCTGGATTTATACCCCCCCTTGTCTGGACAATTCAGTAAAATCAATCTGCCAGTGTTCACCCAGAACATTCCCAGGTTTTATGGCTCCCAGCGTTATTTTGTGAGCCTTGTTAGGGCTGTTTCTTTAACAAACTACACTTTGTTGGGTTCTTGATTGCACAATCTGAGCCATTTTCGACCCATTTATAGATTTTTGCAAACATTTTCAAAAGTTTTTCAGCACTGCAATGAGAGTCTTTGTGTATGTGACCCCCTGTTTCACACAAGATCAGCTCTGGGACTGCTTGGGGTAACTGCCCAGCCTCGTGGATCAAATTTTGCTGTCTTTATCAATTCCTGCAGCAGGCAGGCTCTGGATTATTTTTTTTGGGGGGGTCACAGTGATCTCAGCACCGTTCCTGCACGTCTTGCTCAGTCCCAGCTGCTTTGTCCTCACATGCCATCTCCTCTGCTCCCACGGGCTCTGGGACATCCACAGGGACATCATCTTCACTCTGGGGACAGGGGGGAAGGTGACACTGTTATAAATAACTGTGTACTTGTTGGCTTTCACTATGATATTGGCTTTTGTAAATTATTTTGTGCCATTTGTAATCACCTTTTAACTTTTCATATAATATCATTTCGTATTTATTATTAATTTTAATTCTGTTCTCCTCCCCCTTGCAATTTTGGAATTTCGCATTTATTATTAATTTTAATATTTATTTAATATAATATTTGTCCACTTTTTATGTTTATTACCCTAATCCCTGTGTAGATTACATATTTTAGTGTGATAAATATATTATAGTTTAGGCTCTCACATAAAATAAACACTATGTCCTGTGTATTATAACATGAACTTTTGCAGAAGTAATTGTAGTTGTGAAATCATAACTAATGCTTTTATTTTTGTCGCTGACTGACAACAGTCACTGATATTGGTTAAAAGTTGATTAAGTTAATAGGTTAAATTTGTTAAATAACTGATATTGTTTGAAAGTATTTGTTAAAATGGCTAAAATGTGTGTATGATAAGATAACATTGAAAAGAACCAGGCAAAAAACACTGAAAGAGCAAGGAGGAATCCACCACTGATTCTATCAATAATTATCAAACCACAGACCAGGGAAGAAATAAAATACAAAACTCTCAAAATCACGTCTGCATTGTGGCACATGCTCCAAGATGAGGTCAGGGCTCAAACTAAGCTAAAGGATTCCCAGAACAAATAAACTCAAGTGAATATTTGAATATGTATAATCATCATGAATATGTATTTGACCAATGCAATGAAAAATATATAAGAAGAGTTGTTCTAGTTAACGGTGCACATGTGGCTATGGCTGTGCATTTGCTTTATCCCTTTTATCTTTTATTAAACTTTTAAAATTTCAAAGAGTGAGCCTCTTTTCTCACAGCACCACCCCCCTGGGGGTGCAGCCCTGGAAGTGCCTGTCCAAAACTCCCCTCATTCTTTGCCTCACGACCATCATGAAAGCCAAGACCACCGAGGGAAAAGTTCCTGTTTTAAAATCCTGGTCCTGTTTGGATTGTCCTCCACCAGGCCAAGTTCCCACAGGTGTGTTTGCTGTCCCATGGGATGCTGCACCCTTTGAATGAGGAGAGGGACACTGTCCCCTTTCACACCTGCATGGCTTAGCAACTGGAATTGCTGGAATTTCTCCACCCTCCTGACCTGGCTGGGCTTCCTCTCTGGAATGACCTTCTCGGTGGTCACCACAAACCCTCCGTCGACCACCGTGACAAAGGGACTGAGGTGGGAGAAGTTTTTCCTCCCACCAAGGACTGGGACATGAGACCCCTGCAGGGAAAAGCTCCTCTTTTCTTTCCCCAAGCACTGAGAAACCCCTAACTCAGGGGGGAAGGTGAGTGTGGGGAGGCCAAGTGAACAAGCCGAGATTGCAAGGTGACCACTGGGCTGAGAAGACAATGGCTCTCACCCACTGCTGAGATCATGGATTATGGTATCTGTTCTCCTCCCCCTTGCAATTTTGGATAATAAAACCCCCTGCTTTAGCTAGGGGCTTCTGGGATCTCCCCTGATATGAAGACGACAGGCTCAACTGGACTTTGAAGGACTTGGTCATCCACACGTCTGCTAGCTATACACCTCCTTTCTTTTCCTCCCCTCTTCTTCCTTATTCTTTCCCTCTCCTTTATTCCCCTTCTCCTTAATGCATTTTGCTGTAGTTATTCAATAAAAGTACTTTTTTTTTTTTAATTATTCCTGCAAAACCCCCTTGTCCTGTCAGTTTTTTGCGCCCTTATTCAATAAAAGTACTTTTTTTTTTTTTTTTTAATTATTCCTGCAAAACCCCCTCGTCCTGCCAGTTTTTTGCACCCTGAGATCAGTGAAAAGAACCTTCACGAATCTTGCCATCGTGTCAAGCCCCTGCCCTGCCCTCCAGTGCCGGGTGGGATGCTCACCACCAGCGATGCTCCGCAGCTCCCGCACCTCCTGCTGCAGCCGCAGCCGCAGCAGCTCCCGCAGCAGCTCCCGGCGCCGGCTCCGCGGGGCGACCCCCATGCGCCGCAGGGACCCCTCGGTCAGGCGCAGCAGCCCCCGGCCCGTCAGGGCGTGTTCCCGAGCCAGCTCCGCCGCCCCGCCGTGCGCCGCCAGCCACGAGCCCACCTCGACCCCCGACCACTGCCCCGCCGGGCGCTGCGACCCCTCGGGCCCCTGGAGGGAGGAGAAGGGGAGGTGGTCGTCCCCGTCAGGGAGCCACAGGGTCACGCTGTCACCTCTGTGCCTCAGTGTCCCCGCCCCAGCCCGAGCACAGCCCTCGGTCGCATCCCTGCGCTGATGCTGGTGGCTGCACCCTCGTCCCCGTCCTCAGCCCCTGGGGGGTCCCCAAATCCCTGCCTGGGTGGGTCCCCCATCCTCTGCCCCCGGGGATTCACAAATAATTCACCTAGAGGAATCCCCCCTCCTTCACCCGTGGGGATTCCACGTCCCCTGCCCATGGGGGTCCCTGAAATCCCCACCCATGGGGGTCCCCAAACCTCCTCCTGTGGGGTTTCACATCCTCCACCCATCTGGACACCCAAACACCTACCCATGGGGTCTCCCATCCTCCACCTGCGGGTATCCCACACCCTTCATTCATGGGGGTCCCCAAACCTCCACCTGTGGGGGTCTCACATCCCCATCCATGGGTTTCCCTCCTCTTCCACTGCTGGGGTTCCCTGGCACCCCACTGCAGTTGTCCCGGGGGGGTCCCCAGCCCCTGCCCGCTCTCACCTCAGCCTCGGGGTTCCCCTCCTGGGGTGCCTCAGCCCCATCCTCCGCCGGGAGGTCCATCTGGGGCCGGGGGCAGGGCACGGGGGCTGTTCTGGCTCCCTGCAATCGGGGTTCCGTCAGCGGGGGGGGGGTCCCCGGACCAGCCCCCCCATGTCCCGCCGGCCACACAACCCCCCCAGCCCTCCCCCCTGGCAAGCCGCCATCCCACTGTCCCTGCCGGGGGCACACACTCGGGGGCTGTCGCGCTCCTCGATGCCACCCACCCCGTGCCCCCCCCAGCACAAGGAGCCGTGACACTCTGGTGACACCAGCCCCGGCTCTGCCGTGCCCCGAGCCCGCAGGGGACCCCGGCACCGCTCGGTTCCCCCGCCCGGCCGGGACCTCTGCCTCCCTCCTTCTTATCCCCCCTTCCTCCTACCTCTCTCCGGCTCCGTGCCCAGCACCAGGAGAGCCAAAGGAACCTTTGCCCGGGCGCTGGCTCCCCGGGCACAGCCCCGGGGAGTGCCACGACAGCCCCGAGCGCTGCCCCACAAACGACCCCGCCGGGCCCAAGGGAGCCCTGGGCATCCCGGGAGCCGAGGCACGGGGTTCCAGTGGGCTCCATCCGAAGCTCCCGCAGCCCTCCCGGATCGCCGCCGCCAGCCCACCCCAAAATAACACCTGCAGGGGGTTAAACCCCGCCAAAAAACACCTGCAGGGGGTTAACCCCCCCAAAAAACCCCTGCGGGGGGTTAAACCTCCCCCCCAAAATAACACCTGCAGGGGGTTAAACCCCGCCAAAAAACACCTGCAGGGGGTTAACCCCCCCAAAAAACCCCTGCGGGGGGTTAAACCTCCCCCCCAAAATAACACCTGCAGGGGGTTAAACCCCGCCAAAAAACACCTGCAGGGGGTTAACCCCCCCAAAAAACCCCTGCGGGGGGTTAAACCTCCCCCCCAAAATAACACCTGCAGGGGGTTAAACCCCGCCAAAAAACACCTGCAGGGGGTTAACCCCCCCAAAAAACCCCTGCGGGGGGTTAAACCTCCCCCCCAAAATAACACCTGCAGGGGGTTAAACCCCGCCAAAAAACACCTGCAGGGGGTTAACCCCCCCAAAAAACCCCTGCGGGGGGTTAAACCTCCCCCCCAAAATAACACCTGCAGGGGGTTAAACCCCGCCAAAAAACACCTGCAGGGGGTTAACCCCCCCAAAAAACCCCTGCGGGGGGTTAAACCTCCCCCCCAAAATAACACCTGCAGGGGGTTAAACCCCGCCAAAAAACACCTGCAGGGGGTTAACCCCCCCAAAAAACCCCTGCGGGGGGTTAAACCTCCCCCCCAAAATAACACCTGCAGGGGGTTAAACCCCGCCAAAAAACACCTGCAGGGGGTTAACCCCCCCAAAAAACCCCTGCGGGGGGTTAAACCTCCCCCCCAAAATAACACCTGCAGGGGGTTAAACCCCGCCAAAAAACACCTGCAGGGGGTTAACCCCCCCAAAAAACCCCTGCGGGGGGTTAAACCTCCCCCCCAAAATAACACCTGCAGGGGGTTAAACCCCGCCAAAAAACACCTGCAGGGGGTTAACCCCCCCAAAAAACCCCTGCGGGGGGTTAAACCTCCCCCCCAAAATAACACCTGCAGGGGGTTAAACCCCGCCAAAAAACACCTGCAGGGGGTTAACCCCCCCAAAAAACCCCTGCGGGGGGTTAAACCTCCCCCCCAAAATAACACCTGCAGGGGGTTAAACCCCCCAAAAAACACCTGCGGGGGGTTAAACCTCCCCCCCAAAATAACACCTGCAGGGGGGTAAAACCCCCCCAAAATAACACCTGCAGGGGGGTAAAACCCCCCCAAAATAACACCTGCAGGGGGGTAAAACCCCCCCAAAATAACACCTGCAGGGGGGTAAAACCCCCCCAAAATAACACCTGCAGGGGGGTAAAACCCCCCCAAAATAACACCTGCAGGGGGGTAAAACCCCCCCAAAATAACACCTGCAGGGGGGTAAAACCCCCCCAAAATAACACCTGCAGGGGGGTAAAACCCCCCCAAAATAACACCTGCAGGGGGGTAAAACCCCCCCAAAATAACACCTGCAGGGGGGTAAAACCCCCCCAAAATAACACCTGCAGGGGGGTAAAACCCCCCCAAAATAACACCTGCAGGGGGGTAAAACCCCCCCAAAATAACACCTGCAGGGGGGTAAAACCCCCCCAAAATAACACCTGCAGGGGGGTAAAACCCCCCCAAAATAACACCTGCAGGGGGGTAAAACCCCCCCAAAATAACACCTGCAGGGGGGTAAAACCCCCCCAAAATAACACCTGCAGGGGGGTAAAACCCCCCCAAAATAACACCTGCAGGGGGGTAAAACCCCCCCAAAATAACACCTGCAGGGGGGTAAAACCCCCCCAAAATAACACCTGCAGGGGGGTAAAACCCCCCCAAAATAACACCTGCAGGGGGGTAAAACCCCCCCAAAATAACACCTGCAGGGGGGTAAAACCCCCCCAAAATAACACCTGCAGGGGGGTAAAACCCCCCCAAAATAACACCTGCAGGGGGGTAAAACCCCCCCAAAATAACACCTGCAGGGGGGTAAAACCCCCCCAAAATAACACCTGCAGGGGGGTAAAACCCCCCCAAAATAACACCTGCAGGGGGGTAAAACCCCCCCAAAATAACACCTGCAGGGGGGTAAAACCCCCCCAAAATAACACCTGCAGGGGGGTAAAACCCCCCCAAAATAACACCTGCAGGGGGGTAAAACCCCCCCAAAATAACACCTGCAGGGGGGTAAAACCCCCCCAAAATAACACCTGCAGGGGGGTAAAACCCCCCCAAAATAACACCTGCAGGGGGGTAAAACCCCCCCAAAATAACACCTGCAGGGGGGTAAAACCCCCCCAAAATAACACCTGCAGGGGGGTAAAACCCCCCCAAAATAACACCTGCAGGGGGGTAAAACCCCCCCAAAATAACACCTGCAGGGGGGTAAAACCCCCCCAAAATAACACCTGCAGGGGGGTAAAACCCCCCCAAAATAACACCTGCAGGGGGGTAAAACCCCCCCAAAATAACACCTGCAGGGGGGTAAAACCCCCCCAAAATAACACCTGCAGGGGGGTAAAACCCCCCCAAAATAACACCTGCAGGGGGGTAAAACCCCCCCAAAATAACACCTGCAGGGGGGTAAAACCCCCCCAAAATAACACCTGCAGGGGGGTAAAACCCCCCCAAAATAACACCTGCAGGGGGGTAAAACCCCCCCAAAATAACACCTGCAGGGGGGTAAAACCCCCCCAAAATAACACCTGCAGGGGGGTAAAACCCCCCCAAAATAACACCTGCAGGGGGTTAAACCCCCCCAAAAAACACCTGCAGGGTGGGCAGGGCACGGCTGGAGTGCCCATCCCGGGAGGGATTCAGCAGCCGCGTGGTGGGTGGCCTCGGCAGCACGGGACTCAGTGAGTTTTCCCAGTTTTCTTTTCCACCCTAAACGATTCTGTGGTTCTAAAGCAATCCCGGCCTTTCTCTGGCCTTGGCAGTTCCCCTCTCCCCCACAGCCGCGTGGTGGTGGCATTTGTGGCTCAGTGTTGGGTGGCCTCGGCAGCACGGGACTCAGTGAGTTTTCCCAGTTTTCTTTTCCACCCTAAACGATTCTGTGGTTCTAAAGCAATCCCGGCCTTTCTCTGGCCTTGGCAGTTCCCCTCTCCCCCCTGGAGCAGCACAAGATTTCCAAGGAAGAATGAACAGGACAGCCCGGGTGCTGCACCCATGCCTTATCTCAGCCGAGCCTCCGCAGCAGGGCCGGGCAGGAGCTGGTGGGTGGCAGAAACTTCTTCTGCCAGAAAAAGGACCCGAAGGTGTTTGTGAGGGGCTTTAGGAGAAACTCTGCTCCCTGGCAGGTGAGAGCAGCCACCCTCAGCATCACAAAGGCACGAGGAACAAGAAAAGAGCGAGGAAATTAAACAGAAAGAACAAGGATCTTATTTTCCCAGTGCTTGGGAGAAGGACAGCCCTGCACACCTGAAGGTTGGCAAGACCTTGAGCCCCTGGCAGGGCCTGGAGGGGCTCCAGGAGAGCTGCAGAGGGACTGGGGACAAGGATGGAGGGACAGGAGCCAGGGAATGGCTCCCACTGCCAGAGGGCAGGGCTGGATGGGAGATTGGGAATTGGGAATCGTTCCCTGGCAGGGTGGGCAGGCCCTGGCACAGCTGGGGCTGCCCCTGCATCCCTGGCAGTGCCCAAGGCTGGGATGGACACTGGGACACCCTGGCACAGTGGAAATGTCCCTGCCATGGCAGGGGTGGATTAGGTGACCTCTGCAAGCCCCTGCCCACTCACCAGCTGTGGTTCCATGATTTCAGAGAGCCAACAGAGCTGTCAGCTCAGAGCCTCCAGCACAGGAAGAGTCCCCAAAGCATTTCAGGCGAAGGGAGGAAAAGAAAACAGCCAGAACTGGGTTTTGTCCTGATTTATTGCAGTTCCATCAGTGACATTCATTCGTCAGATGCAATTTGCTCATTCCAACAGCATTTGGACAGCGTGGAGCAAACTGCCCCCCTCAGAGCCCAGCTCAGCCCCTGGGACTGAGCCTGCTGCCCCACAGAGCTGCTCCTCCCCACAGCATTACCTCCCCTCTCAGCCCCCCCACCTCCACTGCTTCACGTGCTCCTGATCTCCAAAGTTAATTCTCCATCCAGAGCCTTGGAATAACTTTTGTTCTCCCGTGGGAGAAATCCTGAAGGGTTACCAGAGGGATCAGACACTTCCAAGGAGCCTGCAGAGACTCAGAGCTGTGTTAACTGTTCCTCTCCTGGAAGTGGAATAGAGCGTGCTCATTAGATAAAAATTACTGGCTGAGTAGCTAAAAGGGATTGACAAAGGCCACAAATCCCCTCTCCAAGAAGGATTGGGTGTAGGATTTATTAGTGCATTGAAATGGCATCGCCAGGCACAGATGGAGGGACAGAGCTGCCAGGGCTGTTACTGGGGGTACAGCTCCACGATCATCGCGTGACCCTGGGAACAGAGAGAGACAAAACATCACAGAAATGGCTCATTAACACAGA